CATTTTTCAACTAGCTAAAGTCTACGTTACAGGCTGACTTCAGGTCTGGTTTAGATCATTGTTACTTATAAATTATATATTTTTCTGGTATAAATCTGCTGTTTTACATGATTGTTGAATGAAATTAACATAGTTATTAATTTATTTTAAAACATGACAGTGCAAAAATATGTACTTAATCAATTGGCTAAATCCTCTCTGACATCTCATTGTAGCTTTATTTATTTCTTTTATTTTTGTTACTGAAATTTCAAAGAATTTGTAAATAGTTTGAAAATCTGTGGTTGAACTTGGTCAACGTCTTTATGATATCTTGTGTTTTTGTGTCAGTTTAACTGTTGCTTTAAATCAAATTCCCCCCCCTGAGGAACAATGAATGTCTGAGCTGAACTGAACCTCCAGAGGGCAGCATTATTTTAAATTTAGACCTAAAGTTTAAAGTTGTTGAGCTTACAGCATAATATACATAATGCACATAATATCAAACAAGAAATTCTTTAAAAAACCTACTGCATCTGAACCTTTTATAAAACAAAGGAAGGATTTGTCTGTGTTCAGATGAATGTTTAGTTATATTTAAAGAGTTTGATTCCTATGGAAACTCTGGAGGGTCACCAGGTTTATTCTTATACGGAAAGTTTTAAACATTTCAGCTCTTTGGTAGTCTTTTACATGACATTAATTGGGAATCAAATCAAATCTGGCAGTTTCTATTTGAGAAAATGAGGAAAACTGCAGACCAGACATGGGAGTTATTATAAATGCAGGAAAATCTGCACTGACTAAAATGAATTATATAATTTTTAGAAAATCTGAGCAGCTTAAATGATTTAATACAAGTGATAGAAACGGGGCTTCTGAAAACAAAATACTATAAATGTTAATAAAATAAATTAATAAATACTAAATTGTAGAACACCTGATTTTTTTAAATGAATTACTGGCAGAAAAATTGCACCGCTTATAATGTAGTTTTGTAATTTGTAAAACAAATTTAGTTGTTGTAAAAGCTAGAAAAGATGTGCTGCCTAAAATTAACTTTCTTAAATTTGGGAAAAACTGGCTGCTTAAACTGATTTACCTTAAACTATAGAGAAACTATGCTGCCTAAAAATGAGTTACACTAAATGTGGACATATATAAGTAAAAACACATACAACAGTGTATATATAGTCCCATCTATCCATTAGCTTTACCTGCTTTTTTCTTTACTGGGTCACATGGGTCACTGGTACCCATGTCCAGCAGTCAGTGTGAGGGGTGGGGTATACCCTGGACAGATCTAAGTCCATCACAGGGACACATATAGACAAACAACCATTCACTCTCACTCGTACCTGCAGACAATTTACAGTTACCAATTAGCCTAACATTCAGTGACTCCAAGCTAGTAGATATGCTATATGTGACTGTAATTAAAATGGGTTCCCTGACTATCCATACCCTGGGCTCCCTAAGGGTCCTCATCCTGCTTTGCCTGTGCCCAGAAACACCTTAACATTTTTTTGGTAATGATTATATTCTCTTTAAAGCATTTAGGAACTTCTTTTCATTTTTCAGAGCAAAATGTGGTTTGTGTCAGGACATAACACTAATGGTGCGTTCACACCGAACGCGATTTCAGCGTCAAAATCGCAGCCAACGCTGAAGTTTGAAGCTTGTGCACTTTGTCAGATGCAGGACAATTGCGCTGCTCGGCGACAGCCGCCCCGCCCCTCCCTCCTCTGTGGGGCTGTTTAATGTCGG